TTAGTTAACAGTGAAACTGATTAGATTCCTCTAACTTCCTCTTGACAAGGTCCCAAGATAGTGGAAATAGAAACTATTAGAAGGGAAAAGAAAAAAAGAAAAAAAGTTCTGTTTAAGCTGGGAAGGTCTGTGTTTTGGCCTTTTTTTCCCCCCTTGGGTTGAGAAATGTGGGAGTAGGAAGATTACTCTCAGTTCTTACCTTATTCATCCAACCCAAACCCAATGTCAAGGACAGGAACTGAGCACTTGCAATATATCTAATTTTGGAATCTCCAGTAGTAATCAAAGGCTTTGACTGTGTCATTCCCAAATGCTACATAGCTGGCTTTAGGACAGTCAGCAATGTGATATGTCAGATGATATTTATTAATTTTTTTGTGTTAATAACATTAAACCTGGCATCTGGGCTTAAATTCTATTAATAATATTTTATTATACTATATATAACATATTCAATATTATTAATCATATTTGTAGAATGCTTTCCTATATTATTTAGCATCTAACTTTTCCTCACAACAATCCTGTGAGATAGGAGCTATTATTTTTGCCCAGTTTATAGATGAGAAAACTGTGATGGGTTCAATGACTTGCCTGAATCACGGAACTTCTAAGTGTTATGATGGAATTTGAAACCAGGTCTTCCTGAAACAGTATCAGGCACTCTATCCTCTACAGAAGAACTCTCCAAGCTTTTCTGAGCATGTACTTTATAACAAAACTTTTTTTAAGTATGCCCCTTAATACATGTATATTTACTTATTTATAAATGATATTCATGTACTAGTGTACTGATGAGTATATGCAGTACGAAGCTTACATAAAAATAGAAATTAGAAAGGATGAGATAAGAGTGAATCAATATTTGACCTTAGAGTTAATAGGGGTGGGGACAGATTTTTCCCAGTAGCATGTGCACAGCTGCTGAAGAATGTGGTTGGTTTAGGTGTTAACTTCCCTGAAGGTTTGGAATTTAAATAGCAGTGTGAAGTAGGGAGGGGGAAGTATTGGGGAAAAGGGCACAAATGTGTTAGAGATAAGCTCTCCAACTGGCTGTTACTGTTAGGGTAGAATTTTACCCCTATTCTCACTCTCTAATTGGTTGAATGCACCCCTTGAGGTTCAGGCCATGCCCCGCTTAAGTCACTGCATAGTCTCCCCACTTTGGAGACAATTGCTGCCTTGCAACACTTAAGACACTAGGATTGTCCCTATGTGACAACAAATAGATATATAGGGAAAAAGTTAACTGAAGCATAGAGTATTGATGGGTCTCACTCTTTGTGGTTGCAAGGAGGGTCATAGATCTATTGAAGTACAGCATATTGGTTCTATGAGATAGGCACTCAGTTTCCAAAGTATGAAAAGCAGTTAGGTAACCCAGTGGATGGAGCATTCTGCCTGGTCTCAGAAAGACGTAAGTTCAAATCCTACAGCAGACACTTAACTAGCTGAACCTGGGCAAGTCAGTTAATTTCTACCTGCCTCAATTTACTCAAATGTAAAGTGGGGATTATAATAGCATCTACCTCACAAGGTTGCTGTGAGATAAGAAAATATTTGTACATAGGAGAGGACAATTAAGACTTGTGGTTAGAAATTAATATCAAAGAATGAAATGGCTTAAACACTATTAATGTTTTTTTATTTTGATGCGAGGCATACCTAAAAGCTTCAGGAATGCCCAGGGAACCAAGCGTATGAGTTGTGTATGTAGCTTAAACCTCCAAAACACCAAGATAAGCAGAGGAGAGCAAACTATTTGCTGACTTCAGGGTTTAGATCATTGAGCTCCTCAAATCTTTTTCTCAATCATAGGTTTCTGGTTTTGTTTTCTCCCTGAATGAGTCACAAAATTACATCAACTCTTTACTTGCCATGGTGGCTATGACTTCAATAACATGAGCTCTAGTCCTAAAATGTTAATGCTTGGAAGAACTCTAGATGTCAGGGGTGATAGAAAAAGGAAATGAAACCCAGAGAGAATAAGAGACTTGCTCAAGGTGACATAGCTAGTTTGTATGTAAAGGAGTGGTCCTTAAAAACCCAAAATCTAATAACAGAAAAGGGACTAAGTCAAGGTATTAACCTAACTGTAAAAGATACAAACACACCAAGTGATCTCTTTATGAGGGGAAAATTAGTCTCTTGAATGAATCAGAAAGGAAATAATATGGTAAATAATGCTATGCCATGCTTCCAGGTAACCATTCAATTTGGTCATTGTGGTTTACTGAGTGTTTGGGAGAGAGAATGGAAGAAAAACCTAGCTCCTGACAGAATGGAGAATGGGAAGCTATAGGAAACCACTTAGAGCTGAGAGAGTGGAAGCTCAGCCAAAGGCAATGAATGGCGACAAAGAAAAGGGCCACAACTGTGGGGAGTGTGGCTGCTTGGAAGTAAGTTGTTTATCTTTGTTTTAAATGTTTAGTTTATCTTTGTTAATGGAGCAGCCATTGGAAATACAGTTGGGAGGAAGCTACCTCGAGTGTTGAAGGAAAGAGATGTGCCTAAAAGAGAGAGAAAGAGAGGACAGAGGCAGAGGGAGAGAAAGAGAGGAAGAAAGGAAGAGAGAGAAAGAGAATGAGAAAGATAGATGGAGAGAGAGAGGAGGGGAAAGATAGAGTCAGAGGGGGAGAGAGAGAAAGAATAAAAGAATCAGAGGAGAGAGAGAGACAGACAGACAGAGACAGAGAGACAGAGATTTAAGGCAAAAGTGTTTTGCCAGAAGTGCTGTCTCTGACTGAGTGCTCAAAGCTAACAAAAATATGAAGTTGGAGATCCTGCGATACTATTTCCTAAGGTGGAGAAAGGGCTTTTATACAGAGAAAACTCATCTGGGCCACCTAAGAGGAAAACAGGATTAGCTGAGCAACTCTGATCCTCCATCACCTCCCCTAATACAGTGGCTGAGTCAAGACTAAAACTCCTTAGACTCCTGACTCCCCAGTTCAGTATTTAAACTATACCACATAGCCTCTCTTAACTCTTGGACTTAATCCTTGGGCTGGACTACATTATCACTGCTTGTCTCCTGGGTAACAGCAAGCCAAGAACTTCCAAGGAATTTTCCCAATCAACCAACCAACAAATATTTATTGAGCACCTACTATAGTGGACAAACTTTTCTTAGCCACTGAATTTCCTAGGGCTTTTACTAAGAATATGGAAATATAGATGCATGGAGCTCTAAAAAGGATTGAAGAGAACCTTTGTTGTGCTACTGTCAAATAAACCTGACATCTGAGCTCCTGTGCTACTTTGAATTGCCAGTGAAAAACAAAATCATGGCAGAGTGGAAACAATAACACTTATTGACTCTTTCTAAATTAAAATACTGGATGTGCTACATCCCTGCCACTTACGATACCTTTGCTAGCCAGCTGCTGTAAAAATGGCTTTGAGATGATCCAGATCAATTGACAGCCTCAGAGGGGAAAGTGACATGTAAAATGGTAGGACCATATTAATGCATTTTGCAAGGATAGTAAAAACATCTTTATAATACTAAGCAATGTTTAATGCTAAAAAATAAATTTGTGTTTTAAGCCCCCAAAGACAGTTTTATCTTGAGAGATGAAACAGGTAGGGCTTTGGACCTGGGGTCAGGAAGACCCTAGGCTCTAACAGTTACAAACAGTGTGACTTTGGGCATTCATTTAGCCTCCATTGGCTTCAGTCTCTTTATAAAATGATGGGGTTGGACTCAATGACCTCTAAGGTTCCTTCCAACTCCAAATTGATGATCACAGCCTTTCTATAACTTAGTTAATAAGCCTTAAGAGTGACACCTCAGCCTCAGAGAGATTGTGATACCCATGGTTCACACTACTATTACATGTCGAAAATAGGAGTTGAACCTCAATCTTCTGGATTCCAGGTCCAGTCCTCTAGCCACTTCTCAAATGAAGAATGCAAATTTCTTATTTTTTAGTAATTGTGATCCATATCCACAAAAAATAGGATTCTTCATTGCCACTCTCTAGAAATTATATTATAAAGCTCTTAAAAATCCAAGTTTAAAACATTGGAATAAGATGTTGGGTTATTAGATGGTCCAGAATATTCCAGAATACCAAACCCAAGCAAGAGTTTGCAACAATGGGCACAACAAAATAATCGATAGGAATGAAATCCACAAATTGCAAGGCTGGATCAGAAATAAAATCTATCCGATTGTGAACAAGCTATGTAGATACACAAGGTTAAAGTCTTCTAAGATTCTGGCCTATGACAGAGCTATATCAGGGATTTTGATAAAATTTGTCCATCTTCAGAGAATATTGTCTAAGAAAGAGAGTCTGGTAGGTGTACAATTTGCTCCCAAATTGAGGATACACTCATCACTTTGTAGCCCTCAATTAAGATAGGTAAGTTATAAATCCATCATTTTGAGAGGAAAATCTATGAGCTCTTGACCATTACAATACTATCAGATTTCACTCTTACAACAAATAATATGACTTGAAGGTCATTTTTGCATGGTACATTAATGGTTCATTAGCATAGTGAACCTGACAAAATTTTTGCCAATGGAGTTTTGGGCATATGGAGTTTGGGAGATGGTAGGACTGAAAGAGAAAAAAAAAGGTTCCTTTGTCTTTAACTCTGACTCCTTTGGCATTTACTGACACACTACAGGTATCTCAGAAGTAAATAAAAACATGTTTCTTCAACCTTGGATGAGTTAATTTATAGTAATTCTATTTTTGGGTATAGGACCATTATTACAATAAGCTAGAAATCTGGCAAGGATAAAACTCAAATACTATTAAGTATAGACTCAAAATTTGTATTTCTAAAAGATTAGTGCTATTCACGTGTCATTTGGCAGATAGCCAAAGGGCGAACCCCTCTCCTGATGAATTCAAACCCATCTACCACTTCCCAGGAATGGCAGAACCTAGCAAATAGGCTAACATACTGTAGCACTAAAGGTTTATCAGAAACCAAATTTGGAAATTAAAAAACAAAACAACACATGAAAACTAGACACCTCATGCATGTAATTGTATATTTATTTCTTTTTAAAGAACACTCCTTAATGTAATTCAATATACAAACTTGGTTTCACAGAATTATAATCCACTAAAATAGAACAAAGATAACCCAGGTTGTGTTTTTGTATCGTACTCCTTCCTGCTTCTTCCACTTCTCCAAACCTATAAGCCAAAATTTTCTCTACTTTCACACCTTCCTAACTGAAAACCATTCTGAATGATTCCCTCTCTCTATGTCATCTCATTCTTCAGGCCCTACATTCTCTTTCCATTAACCCTTTTCCCCTACCAGAAAGCCAGGACATTGACACGTTTCCCCTAACCCAGAGGGTAAAGTGACCTCCCCCAAAGCCAATTATTTACTCTGTGGACGGACTAACAGGAATGAGGAGGGGGCTGGTGAGCAGGCCTCCATGAGCCTTTCCTGCCTCCACACCCACCCCTCAGAGTTCATGTACGACGTGTCTATAAGGTGCCTGAGTTCCACTCGCCAACTCGTGCAGCAAGAACCAAGGTAACTTCTGAGCTCAGGTGTTCTCCATTGGCAATGCACAGCACTGCTAAGCCACGCCACCGGGCCCGCCGATAACCAAGTTCTACACAGTTGGATGTGCTTTGTCCCTTTAATTTTTAAAGACACTCCCACATATAGGTATCTGGCAACCTAGTGTCCAACTGAGTTCCATAAAATTGTACCAGTGATGCACTTGTACATATTTACATGGGGCGGAATGTTTTCCCATATTTTAGATGAGTATATAGATCAACATGTTCACATAAGACCAAATACTTTTTAATATATTTATAACTGATTTATAAAGCTTTGAAAAAACTCACAATAGCACATTGTTTTACTTTAATGCTTTACGGTACTATCAGTTTAAAATCACAATCAGCACTTAAGTTATCGTCAATCCAGCAAACAAGAGACAAAAAAAAATACAAGAGTTAAGAACTGACAGATACATCCTTTATCCTTTTGTTAAACTAATGCATGAGTGCAGAATAAGATAAGATACTCTAATTTAAATATCTTGTTTACAATATACAGTTTGTTCTAATTACGCAACAGTAAATCCCATGCTTCACATAGAAAAGCAATCCACAACATTAAGAAAAAATGTACAATTTATGAAACAAAGTAAATAAATATTAGTATTACAGAATTGGAGCTGTACATAAAAGCTGTTCAGTTTTAATCATATAAAAATATGTTTTAGTGCAACCTCACATATATATTGATGCTTGTTTTTGCTTTACATCATTTAGATCCAAGTGTCCAAAAAAGGAAAGAAATTACATTTATTACAAAGCAGATACACAAATTCTAAAATATGTACAAATTACTGCTAAAAAATGCTTATAAGAATATAAGCAAAGTAAAGAAAAGGCACAAACATCTGTACAATTTAAAAGTACCAGACCCAAAAGGAGAATTTCAAATTTTGTTTTGGTCAGGCTCGTGATGACTCATTGTTTTAACTAATTTTTTTCTGATATAACAAAAGTATATATAATAGCAAACTACTGTAACTTAGGACAGGCATGCTATAAACTTGATTACTTCTATCTCTAGAAAACAAAAACAAAAGTAATGGGTAAATGTATGGGTGAAAGTCTCCATGCATCTCTGATCAATGTAGTTGACTCCTTTCTGATGCGGTATCTTTGCCTTCCTGTGTGCTTGAAGGTAATTCTTTTCGGCTATGAAAACCTAACTGTTGGACATCCACACAACTCTTACTGTAAAATGTGGAATGAGCTAATTCAGTCTGTGATGTACCAAAGTTGTCCTTTTCACCATCGTGCAAGTCAGGGTGGGTGGCTGAGGTACAGGGCTGGCCTGGCTCAGATCCACTAAAGTGTCTAATGCTCAAATGTGCACTTTCTGAGGGTTTCTGATGAGGCTCCAGCGCCTTTGACGACTGATCTGCCCCAAGCAGATTGGCCTCTTCTGTGGCAATGCGGAGAGAGGCGATGGCTTTTGTACAAGTCTGTATGGGCTCCTCATGTTCCCTCTCTGTGGCATTTGGACTGTCTTCTGAAGTGCTCTGTTTCAGCAGGAGTAGGGGGGAAGAGGATGTGCTGGGTGGACCAGATGAGTGCAAGGCATGAGAAGAACGTTTCTCATGAGGCTGGGAGATGTTGTAGGGTTCTCTAGCAATGGTTTCAGCTGCAGCTCTTTGCTTTTCCTCAGAGCCCTCCACTGGCAGAGGCATTGTGGGCGGAGCATGTAAACCTGAAATGGCCGTGGGTATGGAGTGGACCATTTGGATCCCACCAATGGGCCTCATGGGAATAGGAGCTCGCACTTGTTGCTGAGAGTGGAGTGGAAGATGACTAAAGACATAGTCATTAGGACCTTCAGGGAAAAGGCTTGAACCTTGCTGTTCATGAGCACCTTCTCTGTCCCCGTAGAGACTGAAGTAGGGAACCTGAGGTAATCCTCTTCGTAAATTCTGCAAAGAGAAACAAACAGAGTGTAAATTTCAAAACCTAGCATTCTATTCACAATAATACTGATGGGCTATTCCAAACCTTATCACTTTTCATGGATGCTCCAAATCTACCTATTCCTTTCCATGGTTTTTCATTTTGCAAAACAAAAGTCTTATCACTTTGGTCACTTACTCCAACAGTGTCAGCCTCAGAAAATTTTTGTTTTTTAAAAACCAACCATGAGGCAATACATTCAATATATAGTCCACTAAATATAAATATTATAAATATATATATATAGAGAGAGAAACCTACTTTGCTTTAAATTATTAAAGAAGTAATATTTAATATATATGGATATATAATACTATATTATATATACATATATAATTATCACAAAGAGCTTACCAACTTTAAAATATTAACAGTTTTTTTCTTCTCTCCAAAAAAAAAAAAAAAGAAAAAACTAGCTAGGATTCAACTACATGAAGCCTTATCCAAATCTTGTAGAAATAAAAAGTTCACCGTCTGTTCATATACTGGGCAGATTTTATTTTATGCTTTTCGTTTTCAAAAAGTGTTGACAAATGTGACTGGATTGACAGCCCTAGAGATTGGCATCTTTGAGTTTCCCACAGACCAGGTGACAGTGCAAGTGTCAAATATCAGGAACAAAATTCCTCCTCAAGTTGGTTCCATCAATATGCTACTTCTGACCTCAGGAAATGTCCTCTGTAAATCTCTTTCCTAAAAGCCCTTTCATCTTGAACTCAGATCTGGATAGGAGATCTCATGAGAGGTTGCTAAGATGGAATAGGGATGATTGCTTCTGCTGCAAGAACTGTTATCTTTTGTGGCAGTAATTATCCTAACATATTTCAAAGTCACAACTTATTAAGCTGGAGTTGGCAACTAGAAATGAGACATTTTATTTGGACAGTTTAATTCCTCATTTTATATGATAGTTGTTGAATTTGAACATTGCTTTGCAGACCATAAGGGGTCATTTTTACACCCTTTGATCTAATTTGACATTTGGTGGACATTATTGTTATTGGCAATAATCATAATAATAATTCACATTTATAAAGAGCTTTCAAGTTTACGAAGTATTTCACTCAGCAGCCTTGTGAGGCTGGTAGCTCAAATATTATTATTCCTATTTTGTAGATAAGGAAAATAAGCCTCGGAGAAGGGAAATGACTTCATAGAATAAAAAACAAATCACAAAAAGAGAAGGGACATCCGAGGCCATAATAATAAATAATATAATAATAGCTAGCATTTATGTAGTTAGTTTGCAAAGCTACATACACAAACACACACACACACACACAGAGTCTTATTTGATCTTTGTAACAACTCTGTGAGGTAGATGCTTTTATTACCCATTTTACAGATAAGGAAATTGAGACAGAAAGGTTAAGTGACTTGACCAGGAACACATAGCTAGGAAGTATCTAAGGCAGAATTTGAGCTTTGAGTCTTCCTTATTCCCAAGTCCATGACCCATAATGTTACCTAGCTGTCCCAACCCATCTCTAAACAAGAATTGTCTCTATGATTCAACATACTTGGCAAATAGATATCCAGGTTTTAACTGAAGATATGTAGGGAAGGAGGGGACAGCTAGTAGATAGAGTTCTGGACCTGGAGTCAGGAAGACTCAACTTCTGGAATTCAAATCTGGCCTCAGACACTTACTAGCTGTGTGACCCTGGGCAAGTTACTTAACCCTGTTTGCTTCAGTTTCTTCATCTGTAAAATGAGCTTGAGAAGGAAATGGCAAACTACTGCGGTATCTTTGCCAAGAAAACTATAAATGGGATCACAAAGAGTGGGACATAACTGAGCAAAAAATGAAGGGGATCCCATTACTTCCCAAGGCAATCTGCGTCATAAATGGTTTTTTTCCTTTTATCTAGCCTATACCTGCCTCTCTATAACTTTCACCCATCACTCCTGGTTCTGCCCTCTGAATCCAAGCAAATGAAGATAAATGTTTTCCTCATGACAGCTTTTCACATACTTGAGTACAATTATCAATCATCCCCAGCCCAAGTCTTCTCTTCTCCAAAGTAAACATGCTCAGTTCCACATCGAAAGGTAAGCTCCTTGAGGGCAGGAACTGTTTTTTGTTTTGTCATTGTATCTCACTGCCTGGGATAGTGCCTGACACAAAGCAGATACTTACTAAGTGACTGCTTGAATGGAATGGATACAGAATCATCTTAATGCCCTTTACCATCACCATTCTGGTCATTTCCCCTCTGCTGGATAATATCCAGCTTCTCAGTGTCCTTCCTAAAAAGTGCCACCCAGAACTGAGCACAATAATCCAAGTATGACTTGATAAGGGCCAAGTACAGTAAGGGGCAGCTAGGTGGTGCAATAGAGGGCCAGGCCAGGAATCAGGAAGTCTCATCTTCCCGAGTTCAAATCAAGCCTCAGACACTTACTAGCTGTGTGACCCTGAGCAAGTCATTTAGCCCTGTTTGCCTCAGTTTCCTCATCTGTCAAATTAGCTGGGAAGGAAACGGCAAACCACTCCAGTATCTTTGCCAAGAAAACTCCAAATGGGGTCACAGAGAGTCAGACATGCCTGAAAAACGAACATACAAAATGATACTCTACTCCTGGGCTCTCTTAATGCTACCTAATATCATATGAATGTTTTCTGGATGCCATATCACACTGTTATCTTTTATGTATCTTGGAGTTCACTAAAATCTCCAAATTCTTTTCAGGACTACCATCTCCTCCATGGCAGATAGGTAGTACAGTGGGTAAAAGGCTAGACATGGAGTCAGGAAAACCTGAGCTCAAATACGTACTCAGACACTTATTAACTATGTGACCCTTGGCAAGTCACTTAAGCCTCTATTTTCCTCAGTTTCTTTATCTATAAAACAGGGATAAGAATAGCACCTACCTCCAAGGGTTATTACAAGGATACAATGAGTTAATATTTGTAAAGTACTTTGCAAACCTTAAACTGGTATACAAATGCTAGTTGCTGTTATTATTATTATTAATATCATTATTATCTTGTGCTTCAGTTGATTTTTTAAAATCCAAACTGTAAGACTTTGCATTCATCAGCTTGTTTTTTAATGAAGTAAGATCTTTTTGACTTTTACTGTGAAACCTAAGATATAACTCTCCTTCCTTACATTTGTGTAATCTGCAAATTTGATAAGCATGACATCTATTCCTTTATCAACTCATTAATAATGACTGGCCTAGCATGATACAGCTATTAAATGACAGAATCAGGATTTGAACTCTCAGCGCCTGACTCCAATTTCAGTGCTCTTTCCACTAATGGTACTTGAAATCCCAGACTAAAACTTGAATTAGATTCAATCCAGCAAATACTTATTAAGTATCTATTGTGTGTAAGCACTATACAAAAGGATGGGATGAATAAAAAAAATTAGATAAGATATTCTCTGCCTTCATGGAACTTACATCTTATTTGTGGATTATGAAAATATAAAATTAATTATAATACAAAGGAATACATGAATTCATGAGAAATGTGACCAAGGTGCTATGTGAAGTCTTCTAAAGGAAGGCCAGTTCAATTATGAAACCAGGAAATGATTAACAAATGGAGGTATTTGAAGTAGGTTATAAAAAGCTGAGTAGAATTTGATAGATGAAGGGGAGGTGGTCAATGAGCCAGTCAACAAGCATTTATACCCAAGCATCTAGATGATCTAGTGGATTGAACATGGGGCCTGGAAGATCTGCGTTCAAATCTGGCCTCAGACACTTACTAGATGTGTGACCCTGACCAAATCACTTAACCCCTATTTGCTTCAGTTCCTCATCTGTAAAATGGGGGCACACTAGGGCAGGAAATAGCAAACCACTCCAGTATCTTTGCTAAGAAAACCCCATGGACAAAGTCCATGGGGTCACGAAGAGTGGAACACAACTGAACCACAAATTTCCAGGCAGTGTGCTAAGTACTGGAGAAACAAAGAAAAGCAAAAGCAATTTGCCTTCAAGAAGTTCACAATGTAATGTGGGAGACAAACAAAAATAATCAGGTGCATACAAGATAAATGTGGAATAGGTGGAAGGCAATCTGAGGGAAGGGACTAGCAGCTGGGAGAAACAAGGGAGGTCTCTGGCAGAAAGTCAGATTTGAACTGATTCCTGAGGGAAGCAGGAAGAGCAGTATGGGTAATGACCAAGGGACAGCAAAATATTGTACATCAATAGGGGATGATGAGTAGTTCTGCTTGGAGCAAACAGTGGTTCTCAAAGTGTGGTCCATGGACTCCTGACCATCCCAAGACCATTTTAGGAGACCTGTGAGGTCAAAAGTATTTTTGTAAAAATAATATGGAATTTGTACCTTAAAATGTTCTTCCCTATATATAAAATATGTAAAGTATGATACAACAGAATTCTTGAAAAACTGGGCAGTGCTGGATTGTGGAAAGCCTTGAATAGGAAGAGGAGGTACTAGAGGAAGTATTACATAAAAGCACTGGTTGCTATCAAAACACTTGGATTCAGGATCTCTCAATGTTGCTGCTACTTTTGGGATCCCAGGCTACTACATGTCTTCTGTTGTTCATTCATTTCAGTCATGTCTGACTCTTTGTGACCCCATTTGGAATTTTCTTGACGAAGATACTGGAGTGGTTTGCCATTTCCTTCTCCAACTCATTTTACAGATAAGGAAACCAAGGTGAGCAGGATGAAATGACTTGCCCAGAGTCACACAGCTAATAAGTGTCTGAAGTCAGATTTGAACTCAGGAAGATGAGTCTTCCTGACTCCAGGCCCAGCACTCTATCCAGTGCTTTACCTAGCTGCCCCTATATGTCTCAGGGCCTCGGTTTTCTCACCTGTAAAATAAGGCAGTTGAACTAGATGATCTCTAAAGGTATATTCTAGCTCTAAAATTCTATGACCTTCCCTCAGCAACAATTAGGAAGCCTATGAGGGTTTTTGAAGACAGAAGTAACAAGACCGTATTTCTGCATAAGGCAAATAAGTT